TTGCAACATATGTATGTATTAGAAATTAAATATTATGATAGAAGGTGATAAAAAAATGTAATTAATTAATTACATATGAACAGTCCCTAATAACTTTGGTGGTTTTAGAGGGGTATCCATTACTCCAGGCCATTCGAAAAATGAGATTTCCTGATTAGCTTTAAGAACGGCAAAGTCATTACCACCATTACTAGGTGAAAATGATACATGTACAGCAGGAGAATCAAGCTGGACCGAGAAAGCAAACATTGGAGGAGGGATATTCATTATTCGAAATGGTGTAAGATAAATCGAACCTGTAATGACAAACAAGTTAAAGGTTTTAAAAATATATGTATACAAGGCATTAAACGAATGTCTAATTAAGAAATAAAGGATACATCCATCAATGACAGCAACAGTAGCGGCATTCTTTGCAGAAATGGTATTTGCAAATAAATTGTCCCAAGAAAATTCAAGTCGGAAATAGTTACCTATTATCAAGAAAACAACTTAAATCAAAAAGTTTTTTAAATAAAAATAAGCAAGTAAAAATATAGCCCCAACATTACTATTAGTTGTATAATGTAGTATCAATGCAATTTCTGGGTCCCAAGAAACACTTGTTATTGATTCAGTTGAGGGTGGCAAAATTTCTTGTTTCAAATACCAATGATAATTATTCATGTACCATAATTGAACTTGTGTATTGAAATAATAATAAGATACATGAATGTATTAACAAAATAGCAAAAAAAAAAAAAATTATTAAACGTGTACCACATGACGATACTTCATTCGATGTTTCTCTCTCCAACAATATGGCCAATATAGTAGAATCACAATTCCATAAAATTTCAATTATCTGTTAAAAAACCACCAAATTAGATATCTCAAATATATAAGTGCTTTGTGTTCTTAGATATATACTTTGTGATTCTTAATTTCGCGCAAAGAAAATTCGCCATGCCGCAATCCATTTTTTTCAAAAAAACATATTTCGTGTTTATCAGTCGATTTTTGACTTGAGGCTATTAAATTACCTGCTGGTCTATACAAATTTATTAAAAATATAGAAATCGTAAAGTAAAATAAAGATAATTTATATACCTCCATGAAAGAACATGTCCTAATTTATCGACAGGTTCACTGGTAGATTGCAATATCCCTTCCCTGTTGTATACACGGATTACTCGAAGCCCTAACATTATTATATAAAGTAATTGAATAAGTTTGTAACTTTTTAAAATCAAATCAAACCATTTATATCCACCTTTGCCTTTTTTAGGATCGATAGCAGAGCAGCAAAACATGCTACCGTCACCGCACCAAGAAACGCGTGGATAGAAGTCATCATCATCCGATCGGGTAAAATTAGACGTATCGACTACTTTTTGAGCTGCAGTTTTTCCTTCTGATCCATGGAATTGTGTTTCTTTTTTACCCCATCCAACACTTATGCTAACAGCTAAACAAAGTGATATCTTTAAAAAAAAGAATCATGGTATAATGAAATTAAAACATGTAAAAAAAATATTGAATTATTTACTTACCTTCGCCCAATTCTTCAACATTAATGGGAAATTCTGTTATGACCTCAAAATCTTTGGTCATTTCCAGGATTGTATCATTCTCTGAAATAAAAAAAAAAAATTGTTAAAATATAAATAGCGTACTCAGACTAGAAGGGTATCTATCCTATCTTACCAGTAACGAAGATGACCAATTCTTCATCTGGGCTCCATTCCATACACCTAATTCCTGATTCTATATATCCGACAACTTCGTCCTATAATCACTAGATATAAATAACAACGCCAATTTCATATGAACAGTTAAAAATAGAGGTCGGATCTTTTGAATATCTTCATAACTATTCAGTGAATCTTCCCGATTTTAGTCATCCACGAATAACATTATAACTATTCAGTGAATCTTCCCGATTTTAGTCATCCACGAATAACTATTCAGTGAATCTTCCCGATTTTAGTCATCCACGAATAACATTATAACTCTTCAGTGGATCTTCCAGATTTTAGTCATCCACGAATAACATTTATGAAGATATCCAGATGTCGGACGGATGACTGTGAGAACATTCACAGATATTCTTTGAATACAAGTTTAGCTATACAAAATGTACGTTATACCTGACTCTTGTTTTTTATTGGCTGCGGATAGTCACGTGTACATTAAATTGATCCTAACGTCCTGTCGAATGCTAACGACTTAATCCTCGATTATCCACTATTTTAATTGAATATTCGTTTTTAACCGTGAATATTCACGGATCCGACCTCTAACTAAGAAGACTTACCATCTCTTCACAATCTTGCGCCGCATCTAAATGGACAAGAACTATATCACCATTACCAAAAGCTATGCATATCGATTGAATATCCACCAAAAACTTTAGTTCTTTAACGATCTCATCCAGATCATTAGAAGAACCGTTATTTGGGAAGAATATAATAGAAGAAACTTCAAAATTCCGAGTCTACCTTTCAAAAAAATTAAAGTAAATCATAGAAAAAAACTACAAATGATAGTTAAATAAATTATCAAAGATAATTTGATTTGAATTAGCATATTACCTGTACTAAAGAACATTTAACAAGTTCGACCTGAGACTCTGAAAAGCGAACGAAATAAATGTCACCATTTTCCGGATTAACTGTATGTCGAGTTCTTTTTAGTCTAGGATGAGAACTGCCAAAAGAGGCAGTGAATTGCGAAAGTAAAGTTAAACTCTTCATTTGTTGAGAGAATCAGAGAAGGAATTGCGTTCATCATAAAATCAGACTAATCTTTTTATCATAAATGACGATTACCTTCCCAGATATAGTAACCGATCTACAAGGTCACATTCCTCAGCCCTAATTTCCCTCCAGTTCTGATTGGACGCAGTAAATATTGTGGTAGTATGATGGGACGAAGTAAATTATGTCGCGATCAAAAAAAAAAAAAAAAAACTTAAAATTGCATTACTAATTAGCTGTTACTGGACCATGGACCAAATTCGATGAATTTTTTTTTTTTTTTAAAAAAAAAAATTCTACAAATGGGGGGAGGTCAATAGAAAATAAGCAAATTGTTTTTAGTAAATTTTTTTTAAACTTTGAATTAAAAATTTCAAAAAATAATCAAAACAAATTTAATAAAATTTTTTTATTTTGATCTATAACTATGTAGAATCAGTATAAAAAAAATATACCGGTATATTAAATTTGGTTTGATAATTGTTGAGATATTTCAATTTAAAATTTTAAAAAATTTTACTTAGAAAAAATTTGCCTGTTTTCTATTGACCTCACCCCAAATGTATAGAATTAAAATAAAAAAAAATTTATCGAATTTGGTCAGGTAGTTATTGAAAAAAATTCAAGATTACTTACTAGTAGACGGACAGATTTTTCTAAATTTTGAGCGAAATTTTCTTGACAGTCATCTGACAAAATTCGATAAAAATCTTGTTATTTTAATTGTAGAATTAAAATAAAAAGGCTTTATAGAATTTTGTCAGGTAGTTACAGTATCGAGAAAACTTAAAAATTCATGTATGTTGATTCGCGATTAATTCTGATTGGTCGAACGTGCTTAGATGATTATAATAGGTCCGGGCCTGTAACTTGGGTTTAGAGCAAGGTTGTTAAATTGTGGCTGATTAGACCCATTAAACATATAAAAAAAGCAATTAGACATATGAAGTCTAATGATATTGTTTTCATTAGACATTGTCTAAATAACAACCCTTGCTTAGAGTAAAAAGTAAAAGACCGTACTGTACTATCCTTAAACCGTCAATTTTAATTACGAATCTACTACAATTTAAACTACATTTCAACATAATTTGATAGCTTGATCACAGATTAATCATGAAATTTCCAGGTAAATTGACCTGCAAGACGGTGTAAGGGATACATAAGTTATAGTTACTATATGCTAGTTTTATATATTTCCATATATACCACCTGATAGTAGGTCCCTCCTTTCAAAATCCTGGGTCTAAGTTGTTTTTTGGAAGGGTTTAGAATAAGAGACCCGGGTAGTTTATGCGGCAAATTACGGTACTTACATATGTGCAATAAATCCACGAGCTGGTCAAATAGAAATCTTCAGATATCAGAATCACAATTTACGTAGTTGAACGCATATTTGTTCAAAGATAAATTCGTTACCTTGAACTTTGACTGCTTTAAAATCGTATAATTGCTTGATTATATATATATATATATACAGTCAACCTCCTCTATAGTCACACCTTTGGGATACAAAAAACCGTGATTATAAAGAGGTGTGACTAATATAAAGGTATTTTTTATATAGCTATAAATAATTGGTAAAAATAAATTTGTAATTATACTAATTTTGTGACTTTAGAGGAGGTGACTATAGAGGGGGTTGACTGTATAACCATTCACTATTTTTAATTGATCTATTAATATCATATTTTGAATTATAAAATTAAACTGTCAGCGAAGCGACATGGTTATGTACGTACTAGTTTTTTTTAAAAAATTTGGTTAGTTAATTATCACGGGCAACCTCGGGTAGCTACCCCAGTAAGACCAAAATGTACCAATCAGATGATCTGTATTAATTAAACAATCGAATTTTTAAAGTAATAAAAACCTATGTTAGGGTTGGTTGTGACTGAAATTAGGGCTTATCTTGTACTAAAATTTTATTGTGAATTTTTTTGGTTAGTGCGCAGTAGGTGGTTTCATAGAGAGTCGATTGTCAGAAAAGATCTGATTGGTGATCTTTCAAAATGTCACTAACGACAAAATTTTTAAAGTTTGTTTATGTTAGGGTTAGCGTTTACTTTAGAGTTAGATGTTAGAAAGTATTTAGTAAAATTTCTCGATGAAAAATTTTTGTTAAAGCACAAAAGGTGATTTCTTATGCTCATTTTTAAGAAATCTGTAATTTTTGACTTTTTCCTGATCGTGTAACGTTATACCTGATCTCGAAATCTCGAAATCTGATTGGCAAAAATCATGTGTTACGAGTAGTCTGTTACATTAAATCATTTTTACGCGTAATTAAAATCTTAGCCTATTTTTTTTTATTTTTTTTATATTCACATTTCGCACCTTTTACACTTAATATTTTTTCACATTTCATCTTTTACACTTAATATTTGTTTTACACCGTTTCACACTTCGCATTTTTGACGCTTCGTATTTTTTTAAGAACTCTATGAATTTGAACAAGCTTATAACTATTTAAAACAATGGATGACAAAGTTAGCAACCAGACACACTTCGCACACACACTTCGTACTTGCTTCGCACTTTATACTAAGCACTTTGATATTAGACGTTACTCGAAGAAGTAATCTAAGAAGTAATAGAAGATAACGCGGATATACAGGTAATATATTGTCTGAATAGTTTCTGAATTGTATGTATTCGTTTTGCGACTTTAGCTATAGGCTGAAGAAATTTGAAAGCTCATCAGGCCGCAACTTGTGATGTTGATGTTAGGATTCTACAGTGGACGCCTGTTGCGAACGTTCATTTCTTTATTCTATAGTTTAGAGTTGTCAGTGCTCGCGGGACTGACTGGTTAAGGTAATTACTCCTTAATATGGTCGGGTGAGCAAGACTTGGTAATAACCACTGGTGGTAAAATGCGATACATAAAATTGAGTAACCGAGAGCTCTTCGTGGCCACAATTATTGTGAACGTTCTTGCTTAATTTTTCGATGACGTAATTATTTATTTTATTTTATTTTATTTTTAAGAAATAGGCTATTCTATAAAACAAAACCAAAAACACTGGGAAAAAACCGTTACAATGTCGCATATTGCTGATGATGATCGTTATAAGGAACTTTCAATACCAGAAACACAAGCTGAAAAAACCAAAAGATTAAATAGAAAAAGAAAAGCTGTTACTAAATGGTATTAAAAGATTTTTTCAAATATAAACCTGTATTTGGATCAGGACATTTTGGAATGTATAAGTGACGTTCCGAGTTACTTGTATAATGTTTGTAGCATCAAAGTTTCTCCGAACCAATAATGTATAAAAGATTAAATAAAGTGGTGTAAATATAGAAATAATAGAAACTTGTATATTATAAATAGAATTTATCTTGTATAACGAATTTTTAATAAATATTCGTACATAGTTTATTTTAAATTATTATTTTAAAGACTT